ATAATAGGAGTATTTTTTTTTTTTTTCAGTCAATACATTTTTGCACTTTATTAAACAATTAAAATCTATGGATAAAATTTTAAAAATAACATGAGGAACACTTCTTTAATATTATTGAGAATGAAATAAGATTAATTGATAATTTTGAAAAATTTAAACTAGTAAATATTTGGATAATTTGATGATGTAAACTTCAAAATGATTATTACATCTAGATACTCCAAATAATTTCTACAGACATCCTTTTCCAAAATATGCGATTATTTTTACGATTAAACTAATTGTAAATTAAATATTGCCAATTTAAACTTACATGCCTCGAATTATATATCTAGGTATAGATATTATGTTCAATTTCTTCATTTAATAATCGGTAAGTTATGTTGCAGCGGATAAACGATACTAGCCGCTCAAGAACTCGGTTTAGCTCGTTAAAATTCGAGTTCAGATCAAACGAGTCGAACTCGAGATCAATTAAATTTAGTTTGATTAACGGGTTGGACTCATTAAGACTCACAAAATATGAATTCTTATGTAATTATTTATAGTTCGATTCGTAAAGGTTTGAGTTAGACTCGTCAATATATTGATAAATGAGTTGATTGTAATTGGATTATCGGCTCGACAAAGTTAGAGTTCAAGCTCGATTATTAGGAGTTCGAACTCGATCCGGATCATTTAAATTTATAGTTAAGTTGACAATAATATACTTTAAAAAATACCGATAAAACAAAAAATACTTTAAAATAAAAATAATATAAATAAAGTCGGAAATCATCAAGGCCGCCCAGCTCAAAAAACTTCCATTGTAAAATTACACTGCTAAAAGCCTTTTAAACCTCAGCTAAAACCCTCGGTCGCTCGCACCGCCGCCAGCAGCCGCTGTCTCGTCTACCAACAGACCTAAAAATTGTTCCGGCGGCGACCCTTTTCACTTCCTTGGAGTCCATTTCTTCTCTCTATCTCAAATGTCTTTGCTGGAAGTCATAACAAAAGCTTCATCAGCTGCCCCTGCCTTGCACGACCAAGAGTCCGATTACCCGATCGTGCTCAACCCAGACCCGATTTTATCCAAGCTAAAGCCCGAATCCGACGGCCCGAAATCTGAAAGACATGTGCAAAAGGCCACCGGATGGGAAATATCGCAAACAGACAACGAGCTCATCGACTTAGGTCAAAAGTTCTTCAAGAAGCTCAGGAGGAAGCTTAAGGACACGAATTCGTTTCATGGGCCTGAGTGTCTGGACATGGTGACTTCATATCTGGAGAATTCTGCAAAAAAGGTTGGAACTTCATTACATTTCGATAAATCCGAGCCGATGTACCATTGTAATGTTGTCAAGAAATTGGGGGTTTTGATGGCTAGGGATGTTAGGGACATAGTTGCAGAGGGCTGCATTGTTTTAGAGGTTTGGGACTTGCTAGAAGCTTTGATAGTCAACGGGCTTATAAACCATGGGTTCACGTCGAATTTAGTTAGTAAACTGATCGAAAAACGGAGGTCGGACTTGATTGTCTGTTGCGTGAACCATTTGCTCGATTTGCAAGCTTACGAATTGATGTGCATTTTGAAGTACTTCTTGAATCTCCCGGTGGATGGGCGTGAGAGCCTGGCTAGCGTGAGAAAGGATTGGGAGAGCCAAGCATTGTTGGCTATCGATAAGGCGAGTGGCAAAGGGGTTAAAGGGAAAGAAATTAGCTTAGCAAAGGAGGCAGCACTTTTGGTCATGCTAGCACACGATGGGTTTTCATTGTCTGAACTGTGCTTGCACTGTTTTCTATCGTCCCCTAATCTGGATGAGGTGATTTTTTCGGCTTGTGTTGAGAAATTGGATGGTGAAGAGATTAGTACATTGATTCGGTACTTAGGGAAGTGGATTGAGAAATACGAGAGGTTCCCTCAGGTGGGCCCATGTCCTAAGGGATCTTCGGCTTTGGGCTTGGAGGTCTGCAAGTGGGTCCCGTCTCTAGAGACTGTGGTGAAATATCTTGGTGTGGTTTTGGACGAGCATTTCTCGTATTTGGTTTTGCAATCGGAATATGGTGAGTTGAGAGCATTAGAGGGAGTTGTAGGCTCCTTAGCTGCAGAGGCAAGGCTTTGTGGTGGTTTGGCTAATTTGGCTGAAAGGTTGAGAGACGAACACAAGGGTATGTATGTATGGATTGATGTTTTTTTTTTCCCCTTTGTGTGTGATATTATGTGTCGTTAATTGCTGCTTTTAGTTTGCATTTTGGGTATTATTTATGATTAGGCCTTTTACTCGTTTTTTAAACATGTTTTGTTGTCTTTGTGCTTTCTGGATGTTTGATCGCTCATTTTGTTCACTGAAAAAAGTTTTTTTTTAAGAATGTTTCATGATGATGATTGGCTATTTGGCTATGAATTGCTTTACCATTTATTTATTATTATCTGCCTGTTGGGTATTCATAGTATTTATATTGAATCAGTTTGTATTCTCAGCGTGAAGACATGATTTGAGTACCGAAATAAAGATAAAATATTTAGAACGTAGGTTTGGTTGCAAAGGACCACATGTAAATGCTGCTGAGATCTGAATGTCATCCTTTGCTAATGCATTCAAGAGATGTCAGAAATGGGAAGGGTATTTTGATTAAATTGTATATAAGTTTGCTCTTGTGGTGACAAGTAATGAATGAGTTCGAACTTGATGTTTAAGTTCGAATTTGATTCAGTGGGTTGGAAAATATGGGTAATTTGAGCTAAGTCTGGACCTAAACCAATCATATTAGTGTTAAAACACAGGACAAGTTTTACTTTCTAAAATATATGAAGCAATAATTCACGAGGGGTGTTAAATGTAAACGATCTTTATGCACTAGCGAGTTTTTCTTCTGTTTTTATTTGCATTGCAAATCGGTGCATCTTTGTTATATGAAATACAACTGGTATAACATGGGCAAATTCTGTCGTGTTTTTGCAGCCCACCACAACGAATCTCTGGGAAATTTCGCATTTTGACAAGGGTTTGGAGAAAGAGAGACATGCAATTCGAACAAGTTGTGTGCTCAGCAAATGTTGCGTTTTGGCTTAGTTTTTTTTCGACCCTCTTTGGAATTGAGGATTAAAACTTATTTTCTAGTAATTTTAAATTCAGCATCATGTTTGATCAACGAAGACGAACCTTTTGATTGATGTATCAAAGTGTGCCCGGCAAAACCTTTTATTGTTCATTCATCTACTTCAGTATATGCTTTAGAGCAGGGCATATCATATATGTCTATGCTTTAATGATTCATCTGCCCACACTTCTTTTCTGAAGAAAATTTACTCTATGCTTTCTATCTTTTGGATTGATGTGTTATCAGTTATTTATTTGAATTTTAATTTGAGAATTAAGGATATGCTCACCTACACATGAAAACGTTATTTATTCAGACACCAAAAAATGTTTCTGATTTTTTTTTTTTAATATTATTTTTATATGTTGAGTCGACATTATTTATCTTATTGAAACTAAAATAACACGAAAAACTTTTCCAAAAAGACATTATTTATTTCATTTCACATTTTTAATCTATAACTAACACAACTAAAAAATATAAAGTAATAATCGTTATTATATATTATTTTAGAATATCACCTGCTCACTTACATTTTTTTAGATAACAATCTTACCAATTAGTATTATAAGATAAAAATATATATTTTATAAGATAAATATATATTTTTAATAAAATAGTACAACAAGAACAGGTCGAGCTATCTAACTGTTAGACAAGTGTATAATTTTTAATGTGTTATATAGACTTTCTGGTGTAGACTATGGCCTCGATTACTAGATCGGATAGAATGAAATTACCACCTTTAACCGACCTAATATAACATTTACAAGCCTAGATTGTGATACGGAAAAATTCAATGTGGCAATTATGTGTCACGTGGGTCCCACCTGTTAACACTCCTAGCTGGTTAATATTGTCCCAACGTTATGATCGGCTTTTTTTGTCCCAACTTTGCAAAAGACAATTTTGTCTAAAAAGGTAACGAAGAATGTCTAGTATACCCTCCAATGTCTATGAAGGGTGTATTCATTTAAGATTCTATTTTAGGATTTTGTTAAGAATATGATTTGATGAGATTTTATCAATTCTATGGTTAGAAATCTTTAAAAAGTCTCATTTAAATACATCTAGATTTCATAAATTCTAATAAGTCTTTAAAAAGTCATTAGGATAATACACCTCCTAATTATTTACAGATTTAGGAAATATATATATATACGAATTGGTTCTAGGGTTCTTCACTTGATCCTAATAGGAATACACCCCCTAATTATTTACAGATTTAGGAAATATATATATACGAATTGGTTCTAGGGTACTTCACTTGTGCCCGATTGTTCTTTCTTCTCAAAGCCCAAACGCGATTCTCCGGTAAGATTTCAGCTTTTTTTNAGTTTTTTTGGGTTTCAGTTTTTGGTATTACTTTGAAGTAAGCAGGGTCCTGTTATTGTGATAAGCATGGCTCTTCTTCATTGTTGTGAATGATGGTGTTCGGTTCTGTTTTTAGGTCCTTTATTTAAAGGACTCCCTATCTCTAATACCCTATCTCTAATACCCTGCCCTAAACCTCTAAGAAGAAGAAGAAGAAGAAGAAAAGAAAGAAGAAGAAGAAGAATGGAAGAATCAATGGCGTCCGGTGACCAAATCCCCTCCCAACCCTTTAATTCAATACCGGAGAACCATCACAACAAGAAGAAAAAGAAGAGATCTTCGGAGCTTACAATCGAAGGCTATCAAATCGAAGGCCTGTCAATCGCCGGGCACGAGACTTGCGTGATTGTCCCATCTCTCAATCTCGCCTTCGACATCGGCAAGTGCCCTCAACGCGCTGTCTCCCAGCAGTTCCTCTTCATCTCCCACGGCCACATGGACCACATCGTAAGCCACATTCTCACCTTGCCCCTTTTTAGCTCGAAGCTTGATTTGGTAGCAGTAGCTTTTTATATGCTTGTGAGTGTGCTTCAATTTTCTTGTCTCTCTCAGGTAGGATTTGCCAATTTATGTCTTTTGAACTCTCATTTTCACCTCGCCTTTTTCGAAATCGAAGCTTGATTTGGTAGCAGTAGCTTTTTATATGCTTGTGTGTGTGCTTCAATTTTGTTGTCCCTCTCAAGTAGGATTGCCCATGTATGTCTTTTGAACTCTCATTTTCACCTTGCCCTTTTTGAAATCGAAGCCTGATTTGGTAGCAGTAGCTTTTTATATGCTTGTGTGTGTGCTTCAATTTTGTTGTCCCTCTCAAGTAGGATTGCCCATGTATGTCTTTTGAACTCCCTTTTGAAATCGAAGCTCGATTTGGTAGTTGTAGCTTTTTATATGCTTGTGAGTGTGCTGCAATTTTGTTGTCCCTCTCAAGTAGGATTGCTCATGTATGTCTTTTGAACTCACAATTTCACCTCGCCCCTTTTGAAATCGAAGCTCGATTTGGTAGTAGTAGCTTTTTATATGCTTGTGAGTGTGCTTCAATGTTCTTGTTTCTCTCTCAGGAAGGATTTCTTATGTTTGTGTTTTGAACTCGAAGCGTGATCTATGGTAGCAGTAGCTTTTTATATATTTTTGTGTGTGCTTAATTTTTTTTTTTTCTTTTTTCTTTTGGTCTCTCTCAGGGAGGATTGCCCATGTATGTTGCTACACGGGGCTTGTACAGTATGGCGCCTCCAACGATTTTTGTGCCGAAAGCAGTGAAGGGAAGCGTGGAGAAGATTTTTGAAGCGCACAGAGCTATGGATCAATCTGAGCTTAAGCATACTCTCGTGGGTTTGGATGTGGGTAAGAGGAAAAACACCTTTGTGTTTTGTGTTGCATTTTTTACTGATTGGTTGCAAAACCCATTTTGCGAGAGCCTCTGATTAGGTGTGATTTTGTAGGTGAAGAGTTTGATTTGAAGAAAGACCTTCGAGTGAGGCCATTCAAGACGTATCACGTTGTTCCAAGCCAGGTTCTCATCCAGGCTCGTTCTTTAGATGGTTTTTCGTATGTTTTGGTTTGTAACATTTTTTGGAAGCCGATGGTGATTACTGATTAGGACTGGTTTTGTGTTTGCACAGGGATATATAATTTATTCAGTGAGACAAAAACTGAAGCAGGAGTATTTCGGGCTACCTGGAGCTGAGTTAAAAAGCCTGAGAATATCGGGTGTGGAGGTACATCTCAATGTTTTGTGTGTTTCGATTGTGTGATTATGTGGTTGTAATTTTTCTTTCTTTTGTTTTTCTCCTATGTTTGTTAGATTACAGATACATACACATCCCCTGAAATTGCATTTACGGGAGACACTATGTCAGACTTCATTATTGATCCGGATAATGTTGATGCTTTGATGGCTAAGATTCTCATCATGGAGGTACTGATTATTAGAAATAGTATTTCAAAAAACACAGTCGTGAAATTTATAGATGCATATTGAATGGTATAACTTGGCAAAAAATTTTCAGCATTTAATAATATTGTTGTGTGTATGGATACGATTATACGGTAGCGTGAGTAAATTGGCAGGCATTGAGCGATTAATCCGTTTCCTTTGTAAATAGGATCTTTTGCTGAATATTTATTTCTTGATCATAATGTTTAACCCATCAACATGCTTTTTATTACATATCTCTCCAAATGTCGATAATTTTCGGGTGTAGAGTACCTATGTTGAGAGTTCAAGCAAAGTGGAGGATGCAAGGGAGTACGGACACACTCATTTGTCCGAGGTTAATGTTCTCCTTTCTGTCTTGTTTGCTAATATTTTACTATCTATCTTAGATACTAAATTGTTGCTCACATTCTGTGGTGTGGTTTATTGCACCACACAGATTATGGGTTATGCTGATAAGTTCAAGAACAAAGCAATTCTCCTAATCCACTTTTCAGCCCGTTATCAATTAGACGTAAGTAACTTTTTTTTATTCTTCTTGAATGATGTCGATCAGCTTATAATGTATGAAATGAGTAATGAATTTGTAGGGACTGGATAATTACTTTGCGGCCTTGTGATTCTCATTTATACAATGCCTGTAATCCTGGCATCACAATTATTCGATCTTGCTAAACGCTTTTACGTGTAACTTCTTCTTCTTTTTTTTTTTTTTTNTGAAAATGCTGTTTCTGCATTGCCTCCTCCATTGGCCGGACGAGTTTTTGCCCTTACAAAAGGTTTCCGATCCGAAAGAAATATCGAATGAAGGTAGGATATCTAGAAAACCAGTCATCGTGTAAAAAATGCATGTGTTTAAATGATAAATGTAATGGACATAAATATAGTGAAGACTTGAGCTTATTAGCTATTTTCACGGCTAATTGTTAAGGTAAAAATTTTCATTTCAAGTCGTTTATAACACGAAATGTGTCCATAGGTACTATATTGGATTTGAATCGGATTTCGAATCAAGACGAAAAGATCTAGACCTTTGAATAGTCATTTAATTGTTTTCGAATTGGTCCATTCAACGATCTTCGAACAAATAGGAAACTGCCTTCATATTTGAAATTGCACAAAAGAGTTCTTTTAGGATTTTCTTCTTGATCAATCACTATGACTTGTTGTCAAAGACTTTATGGGGGCGGTTGAATATAAATAAACTCGGTTTTGACTGGATTTGATTGGTTAAAGTGAGCTATTTTGAATAAAGAAGATTGATTGGGTGATTGAGTGACATTTTGAGTTTGTAATGATTAAAGTTGATGTGATTTATGAGAAAGATTATGAGAAATGGTAGGTAATTAAAAATATGTGAAACGATGAAAGGCGAATTAATGTTGATGTGATAGGCGATGATGATTGATTGATATTGTTTAATAATATTAATAATAATGTGGAGAGTTGTGTTGGATTTTGAATTAAAAAGTGAAAAAATAATCCGATCAGTCAATTGGTTTTAATATATAGTCAATTGCCCTAAGAGTCGCAAATTAAAACACCGCATATGGTGTTGCAGTAATTGGTATAGCTACCGTTCTTCAGACATAGCAATACAATTGAAATCAGTGGCCTTATCGAGCAATGGAAAATATTCACAACAAAAAGCCTAAAAGTTATGACAATCATACATTTTCAACATATGCATATATGAGCTCTCTTCGGAGCTGGCTTGGTCTGCCGTCTTCTTCGGGCGGTTCTGTTGAGGGAGGCTTCGTGTTTAGGTTTATGTTTATTTGTAGTTTTTGTTTGTGTTGCGTTGTTTTGCTTTTGTTTGTGTTGTCAGTGTTTTAGGTTTGGGCCGTTGGCCCCTGTGAGCCCGAGTGTCAAATTTATTACTCCGTGGGGTCCGACACTCGGGTATTACTCCATTGGGGGTCTTGTTTAGTTTTGTTGGTGTAGTTGGTTTTGTGTGGTTGTGTTTTTTCGTTGTTTTCGTGCGTGTTGCCCGAGTATTACCCCGTTGGGGTCCGCTCTAGGCGATTTCTGGATCTGCCTCCCAGTTTTCTAGTCTCTGGTTGTACTTTTCAGCCTCTGGCTGCCTTTTCTTCGCACTTTGTGCGGTTTTTATTAATATAATACCTTTATCGTTTCGGAAAAAAAAAAAAAAAATATATGTATATACTTTCAATAGAAATATAGTACATAAATTAAGGTATGTCATTTCAGAAGATATATATCTATTTTTGTTAAAAAAAAGTGTGACGAGTCGATCCTAGCTCAAATATATGTGATAAGTTGTGTCACAAACAATTATTATTTTATTGGTTGATTACTTGCAGTGCCATAAATAACCAATCCACTTCATATTACATATTACTAGTATTCGACCTGTGCATTTGCACAGATATAAATAAATTATTGTGAGTCTGTATGCATATAATGATTAATTATTTTTCTTTCACTTTTTTGCAGAACAAATTTACAATTAAAAGAGTTGGAATATTTTTTTTTTTAAATTGTGTTTATCTGATTGGATGTAATGTATATTTTGGTACGTCTTTTATTTGTGAATTATCTATTATTTATTTAGGAATTTCAAATATATTTTTTATGTTAAAAAAAACAAATAAATGTAACAACAATAATAACATCTAATCACATTATATCAACACATTATATGGTCAACTGTCATTAATCAAAAGTTTAAAATGATTTTTTTAATTTTGAAGTGATGAGTATTAATTATTTAATGATTAAATGAAAGGTTAAATACATCAAAATGTGACGGTTTTTGGAGGGAAAATTGTTAAATTGCCACATAGGTAAAATTAAATAGGTTTTATTAAATGTTATTAGCTAGTAATTATATATATATAGATTATTCCTGGGCAAACTTTTCCAATTCAAACTGGCAATTTTAATAATTTTGTTAATAGAAAAGATTTGCATTTTAAAAGGCAATTATCTTCATATGTGAAAATGTTAGAACGTCATTTGGGTTTACTTTTAGTTAGTGTCATTGTTCACATAACCAGTAATTCAAAGTTTATAACCTGTTAAATTGTAGAAAATTCAATTTCAAGTTTCAATCTTCAAAATTCAATAATTATATATTAGCCGTGGTAGAATTCGAATCATTTTCTAAATTCTAAGACATGATGTATGACAAAATTACCATTCTTGTCTAGTTAAGTTTTAGACAAAACTTGCGGACAGTAGGCCAGAAGGTTTGAAATTAAAACATTTCAAAATTTTATGCTATATTATTTTTTAAGAAAATATGTAATTATAAAACATACATTGAAGTTTTTATTTCTTATTATTTATCGTGTCAGACTATTCTTTCACTTATATTGTGTAAGAAATCTTTAACAACGAAACGATAATAATCAAAGTATAAAAAATATAGAAAATAATGAAAGTATAGAACGAAATCGAATAATTATTAATAAACTTATTTATTAACATATGATTTAAGGAGATTCGACAGATCTTAATATTACACAAAAATATGAATTGTTATTTTTTTTAAATGATACTTATTTTAAAATGAACGTAATAAATTTTTTAGGGAGATATGAAATATGCAAGGCCATAATTATTCCCACTGTTTAAGTTTATCAAATTGTAGTTTACTAGTACAATACCTATGTACTATATGGGTGTTGAGTTAAAAATATATGATAAAAGTTATGGCTAAAATAATTTCTTTATTTAAAAATTTTGAAGGACTAATTGATGAAAAAAAAAAAAGTTCCCATGCAATAGTCAGGAATTTTTTACGATATCGAGGTAGACAGTGCAGGAAGTGATTTGTTATAATATGGTAAGATTGCTACTTACCCAATCTAAGAAGGAAATGTGTAGTAAGAGAAAAAAATAACAAAATTAAATATATACTTAACAAATTTGAAAGATTATTTATGTCTAATAGCAAGTCTAACTCCAGAGCAAAAATTAATATATAAACAACATTACAAAACATAGATTTTCGATATGTCAGCATCCAAAGCGTGTGAGTCTGCCACATAGGCTCAACACATTTTGAATTAATATATATGGAGGGATACGTAATAAGAACACACTTTTTGATAAGGAATATGTAATTTATTTATTTTCTCGTCCAATGATACATTATTGAGTTGTGAAAGTAAGTTATCATATATCTATATATATCTATATACATTATTGATTATTTTTTAAATAGTAACTATTTCCCTAAAAAAAAAAATCTATTTACTATTTCTAGAAATCACTTATGGAAATTGCAGCTCATTATTTAAGAAAGTAATTAAGCCATACTTTAAGATACCTTAATTACTCAAATCATATGCATTAATTAATATATGATGTAAAGTGAACGGATTTACTTTTGGTATTGATGGCTGTTTCAATGGGAAATAAATTAATCAATATATAGTATACAGTGAGCAAATTTATTTAGGTTATTTGATGAGTGTGTTTTAGTAGGAAATTTGTTGAAAAATTAATCAATTTACGGTGTACTTTTTTCTGTAATGCACATGTGTACTTTTTTTCTGTAATGCACAAGCTAATATATTAATTTTTACGCATGTATTTCAATTTTTATTTCAAATTTTCGTATGAAATTAACATAATAAAATTATCATAACTCTGACAAAATAATATGAATGGATATTTTGATATAATGTGCGTGTATAGATGTTTTTTTTACTTTTACTCAACTACTTAATTTTTTTTTTATTTGGATATTTTATGCAAAAATATATTCATTTTAGTTAATGAAACAATATAAGTTTTATATTTATAGTTATTATTCACATTGGTTTTTATATATATGATAAAATTTTACCAAAATAATTATTTTATAGAATCACGTTATAGTCAAATTGAATTTCTGAATAAAATTTTTGAAAGGACACATATATTGAAACGAATATAATGTAATTTATTATCAGTTAAATGCAACGCACGGGTTGTGTACTAATTTTAAAAATAGACATTTTTATGTAATTTTTTACAATTTAAATTTTATATAACATTCACAATAAATTAATATATGTACATTGTATTACATATTGATTCTATATTTTAATTTATAAATATTAATAAATATCTCTTACTCATGCATCGTACGAGATTCGTACTAGTTTGATATAATATTAATGCAATATTTCATTGGGGAATTTCAACTTTATGAAGGAAAATGTTTGAAATAAACATTTTAATATCCAAAAATTCAAACTTGGAACTAATTTTTTTACTAGAAGATTTGGTCTGTACGAAATCCGATGGCTTTAGTTGAACAAATAATCATTTATCAAAACAATAGAAAATATTAAGGAAAAAAAGTAAAACAAGTGATGTAATATCATTTTGACATTTATTTGATTGAAAAATTTACACACACAATTTGGAAATGTGCATTACAAATATATTTTAATATAAACTGATTGAAATCATGGTGTTTGGTAAATAGCTAGCGTTGCAAAGTGCAAACTACAAGTTTGAACTTTAATTAAGGTTTGACCAGCTAAATCATATATTTTACATATTTGTTTAAAACTACTATTTAAATAGTTTTTAGAATTTAAATTAAGAATTAATTTTGAAAAAGTTTCAAATATAGAAACTTTTTGTGAAGAAATGGATG